ATTCTTTCCGGAAGAAGGTAGAAGGGACTCTGTACGAAGTGTCAACAACGAAACCAGTGATTCCAATGGAACCATTCTTTCAAAACGCATGCTGGAGCAAACACCGACAGTTGGAACGACCTCAACAATAACATCATGAAGTTATTGCGGTTTTGTGCCAACAACAGACTGCCCATTATGAACACCTTCCTCGATCATCGAAACGTGTATCAATAGTCCAGAATCAGAGATCTTCTTTCGTAGGGGTGTCGTTGATCAGTGGATCATTCCATCATCCGAATTATGACGCCCCGTAACGGTGTTTTCGTTAAGAGACGTAGAGCTGTCAACCGATCATCACCTTGTTGTTGGCATCGCCCTCCGTAAACGATAGAATAACCGTGTGAAGACCTGATGGCAAAAGCTACCAGAAAATCAATGAAATCTTATTCTACAGAATCACTTCCAAGCAACATCGCACGACCACGACTGTTTGAATAGATTCAGGTGACAACCCATGATGTGGACCAGATTGAAAGCTCTTTAACAGCGGATTGATTGGGATTGCCACCGAATGGCTTAAGACACTTTGGCCCATCACCTGAAGGTCATAAACAACAAAATTCTCGAGGACACGAGGGGTTCAACTGGCTGCGCGTGAGAAGAAGATTGCATTCAAGACGTGACTCGGAAGCAAAGAGTCTTCAACTCGAACGCACTACGAAGAAGCACTCACGGCAACAATGACATCAGTGGCCAATGAGTGAATTGTTAAATAGACACGATGCTTGAATGGACATCTGGACAATAAAATCAATCTTTGTGGATGTTGGATTTGACCCGTAGTTTGGCATGAATCCATTGTTGCTTTTTAATTTCCATGGTTGTTGTTTAGCATTCATGGGAACTTACGTGTCGATACCACCGAAACACGGGCTGCGCTCTATATCTAGGCATCGATGAGTTATATAAACTGCGACATCCTTTTTCGAACAGTTCTTTCTGCAGTCGTATTGGCATTTCGTCACATCCTCGTGAACGGCTGCCTAAAAGCCAGTCTTTAAATAAACAACATG